GTATGAACCACAATGTGAAACTTTTCTGGGTGTCATATGCCTGGCTGACATTTTAGAAAATTGGCCTCTACGAGAATGCGCAGTTCCAAGCGTTAGTCAAACTAATCCTGAGCTTTCTATTGCAACCAAAACTGCCAGCAAAAGATAGAATGAGACACGATCATATGCAATACTATGGGTTCTTCAAAGCAGGTTATTCGTTGAAAGCCTCTAATCACAGAGTTACATTAGTGAACTTGGTTACTTTAAGGTGGGTTTACAGACTGTATGTATTTATGGTTGCCGGCCGCTGTAATATCACAGAGATTCAATCAGACGGAAGGTCGATCCAAGCACAGGGGAATCAACTGAAGAGGTAACTTATCTCTCCCTCATAAAAATCCTAGAGATTGACATTACAGGAGGATAGTTCAAGACAGTATTTGCAAAAAAATGTGGTCACGCAGTGGGAAATTCTCTAAGACAGGGGGCGCGCTCAGTTCGGCCGCTTTCTTAACTCAACCGACATCCCAATATAACGCCTAAGAAACAGATCTTTGATTTCTGAATTACAGACTTTGACAAACTTCGGCAATTAATATTTACTCCTATCCCAACTCTTAGCAGTGAAGGGGGTTGGTGACTGAAACATTAAAAACAGTAAGAGTTAAGTTATCTTTTTAAGCCATCAAGATGCAGCTAACCTGACTCACGACCTAAGGGACCCTCACTTCTCTTGCACGCATCTCACGCCGAAATTTCAATACTTTAAGTATATTGGAGGCGTCTCCTCAAAATAGGGCCATCTTACGGACTGCAGACTGTGCGTAACTTTATGTTTCTTGTGGCCCCGACGTCTCGACCATCGATTTCGACGATGTCATCGTGTCTGCACAACAGGGTGGTGCAGCAACGGTGACTTACGCTGGCGTATAATGAAATTAGATTTGCGCTGCATATACCACACTCTCTCTCCTCTCATCCACCTGTGACCGGTGTCAAGACAGAGTCAAGTAGATCAGAAGCAGGATCTACTGCGTGTCACTACACCTGGCTAGGATCCCATCTACGTGAGAGTGTCATAACGGCCACACTAAGGAGATGTTCTTGCAGCCGGACTCTCAGTCCACCGGTCGGCCACTCCACACAATAAAACACCCATTGGACTGACCGAGTTGTTAGTTGGCAACCCTCCAAGCCACGGCTTTAGGCGCACCGTGGTATCTTCAAGAAATGCGCCGCGTCGTCGACTTCATTCCCACCCCCCATCGCCGGCATCAAGCCACTGTCCTAGCCGGTCGATCGCGTACATCTTATAAAAGCAAAGATCATAATCTGCATTTTCGCCATCTAATCTCATCTTGACCCCGCACCAACAATCACCGAACCGAAATTTGCCATCCATCGGCCGAGAGGCTGGCGAGGGAAGGGTGGATTAGGCCGATCCTAAGGTACCCTCCCTTAGGACTATTCAACACAATCCTTACAGTAGTGCGCCGGCTGTGCTGAATCCTCTCACGGTCCACTAACTGTCACGGCGCAGAATCTGGTCAAACGACAATACAACTGAAACAGCCCCCTCTGAGTGTGGCCTTTTATGGCAAACTCGTTTGCGCGAGATCCCAGCCCATGCGCTAGACGGTTTACACGTCAGCTGCCACCCGACTGTTCCATCGTCAGTCGGCTCTTCCCGGATAGAACAGCGACACATGTAAGAGAGAGAGAAAAGAGATGATTACGTGGTTCACAGCGCCGCTATGAGCAAGTAAATACGCACTTTTTACCTATGTAGACGCGCCAACACAGCCGTGGTATGGAGGATTGGAGACGAGCCCAAAAAATTCAGTGCTATTCACGACTGCGTCCTCCTCCTCCTCCAGAGCTAGTTAGGTTTGGCAGCTACCGCACACAAACACGTCCATTTGCGTGTGTACGCATTTTGTTTTGCCGTATGGCATAGGGGTAAGCTAGACGCTGCACATATTCACGCACAAGTTATTACTGTACAAGTTCTGCAAATATTCCCATGTTTCATTTTGGAAAACTTATTCGGTAAACATCTTTTTTTTCGGCAATTAATCATCACACCAGTACAATTGCAGGGATAATGAAAATCGTACAGAAGAAGAAAAAGACGCGATTACTGGAACAAACATTTTATTCCCCTGACGTTTCGGATTCTGTCGAGCATCGGTAAACATAGGTAACCGTAGGATGGTGTGAGACATGCGCATGTCTCACACTATCCGAAACGTCAGGAAAATAAAATTCCTGTCCCAATGATCGCATCTTCTTCTAAGCTGCTTTCTGTAGCTCGCATATTCGCTTCTATCGAAAATCGTACAGTTGGAAAGGGTTAATAAGGGCCTTTCAAGTACAACTCATCGTTTTCACGCCGCCCGCATGGCGAAATCGGCGTGTAGAGATCCTTGCGCTGGGGGAATGGAGGAAGGGGAGCAAATTAGTATGGTTTGTGAGCGTTGGCCATTGGTCGGCATAAGTTGGCTGGTTTTCGGTAGACAGCATGGTAGGCCGGTATGTGTTCACGTACTCTCTTCTCCATGCGCCTCGGAGCAAGATATATTGGCTGAACAACGAGGTGCCTGAAAAGGAGAGTACGTGAACACGTACTGGTCTAGTTAGGTAAAGGCGAAAGTAGATCGATCTCGAGTTGTATTCTCGCACACCTTGTCGATACGAATCACAGAGTTGATATTAATCGAAGCTTTCAGGTTGTATACCGGACACCAGCCAACTTTTCCAAGGGCCTACGCCAAGGGGTGCTAGCAACAGCCGAGGTAGTGACTATACGGCTAGTGAATCCAGTGCTGTGCTGTCAGAAGGCGTTAACACAAGCCCTTTCACTTTTGTGGCCGGTATCGACGCCAGGTGGCGATCGCCTATCGCGCCCACACCCTAGTGACAGTCTTTCACCCCGTGCAAGTGACAGTAATTATCACTC